CCAAGTCCGGGACGCAAACCATGGTCGACTACGTGGGAGTCCAGCGACATAGCCATTACGCTAACTGCTGGTTCCCTGTTTTTGTTTTTTTTCTGTAGGCGCGTGTGCTCACTGGGGACGTAGAGAGAGAGAGAGAAATCACCCCCCGGGGGATGACCACACCGCAGTTCCTTCTCTTCCATTCTCCTCTTGGGACTTTGGGCACGTCCATATACGCACCTGGTGTGAGTTTCAAGCCACCAGGTCCAGGACTCAAACCATGGTCGGCCATGGTTTGAGCAGTCCAGCACCCTAACCATTACGCCATCAGCTTGTCCCACATAATGAATGATTACGTTCCTAAGCTGTCTTTCAAAGGTTTGTGAAAGGATCAAAATGTTACGTTTAAACTTTGACTTCCCCAAGCTTCCTTACTTCCCTCCCGTCTTCCCTCCATGCATCTATCCATCTCTATTTCTTGCATGAGAAAAAGGCAGAGAGAAGATGAAGAGAAGGCGCCCCCAACAGGGCCCCTGTGCCATGAGCTCCCGCCCCGCTGGCCTAGGCTCAGCCGGCCCAGGTCGACACAGGAGCAGGCACGCATCCAGCGTGCCCAGGGAGGTACCAGGACTTTGGCGTGTGGGTCTAGACTGCACCACCGTCTGGCCCACTGAAACGTCTTTCTCTCTCTTCTCTGTGAACCCCCAGCTACCATTAACATCGCTCTTCCCCACTCCTCTGCCTGAAACTAAAGATCCCCTTGCCCCGACTTCAGAACACCCTGGATGCTGCCACTTCTCCCTTCCCGGAAGAAGGCTGAGAACAGGAGGAAGCCCCCACCCCCCTTGCGTCCAGCACAGCGCAGCGACCGCACTGGAAGCCCGCCTGTGCCTAGAACGTGGGCTCCCTGTGGGTGGCGGTTGGTGCCCTCTGGCTCCAAGTGTCCGTAGGTGAAAGCGGCTGACGTGGTGTAGTGGAAAGAGCTTTTGAAACGGGCAGGTGGCGCGGTGGTTAAGGCGCTGGACTCCCACATGGCCAATCGTGCTTCATTCAAGTCCTGGACCTGGTGGCTTGCTTTCTCACTTCCTCTCTGTCTCTGTCTCTAACTGGTCAAATTTAAAAAATAATAACAAATGAAAAATTTGAAATAAAAAAACAACAACAAATGAAATTGGCAGATGACAAGGCCAATCTCTACATATCCTGTGCTCCGGCTGCCTTTTCCTTGGTGGAAAAAACAAACAGGGAAATCCACACAAACTGGGCACACTTCACATGGCCCCTCCGAGCCGTCTCCTGGACCGCACAGCTCGGACTGACCTTGGTTGGGACGGGAATAAACAAGATACCAAGGCCAGATGGCAGCACCAGAGTAAAGCATGCTGGTCTGCAAGGCTAGCTCACGTTGGACAGTTCCCAGTTCAAGTCCAGAAACCTCTCTGAGTACGCCTACACCCACGGTCTAGGACTGACTGAAGGCTGGGGTTGGGGTGCAGTGCTGGAGCCCTCTTGGGAGTACTGTCTGTCTGTCTCTCTCTCTTTGAAGAAGTAAATAAGCCTTAAAAAAAAAAAAAAAAAAAAAAAAAATCTTTTGTTGAAAGCCCTAAAAAAAAAAAAAAAAAAAGATGCTATTGATGATTGGGACCAGCAGTTGGCGTAATGACTGTGTCGCTTGACTCCCCTGTAGTCGACCACAGTTCTAGTCCCGGACCCCGTGGCTTAAACTCACACCAGGCGTGTGTGCGTGCGTGCCAAAGTCCCAAGAGGGGAACAGAGGAGAAGGGATTGCGGCGTGGCCATCCCCCCGGGGGTGATTTCTCGCTTTCTGTCTCTCTGTCTCTCTCTGTCTTTCTGGTGAGCGCACGCGCCCTATAGCAAAAACCTCTCCAAAAAATAAAAAAAAAAGAAAGAAAGATGCTCTTGATGACTACGCCAATCTCTAGATATCAGTCCTCCCTGCCAGAGCAGGTCAGGAGCCGCCCAAGCCCTGGATACCACCCTGCTGCCTCCTCCGTGTGCTGTCTTCCAGGTCCCTGTGCAGTCCTGGTTTGACGACATGACGGACACGGAGCTGCTGGACCTCATCCCCTTCTTCGAGGGCCTGAGCCGTGAGGACGACGTGTACAGCATGCTGCACAGACTCTGCGAGAGGTAGCCCCGGCCCCACCTGCGCGCTCCGGAACCTCCGGCCTCGGGGACCTGCCTGGCCTTCGCGCCCTGGGAGCTGAAGGGAGGATACTCCACGCTCCAGGCCACAGGAGGAATGTGGCCATGCCTACCTGTTTCGTTTTATTTTTTATTTTTAAAGAACAGAAACAACTATTTTACAAAATAACTCTTTTAACAGATTTCATAAAGGGACATGCATTTTACTGGATTTGCTTTTCTTAAAACATACCAAAAAAGAAAAAGGAAAAAAAAAAAAAAAAAACTTGGGTTCTTACAGAATGAAAGAAGCCCAAGAGAAGGAACTGTAAAAGCAAAAAAAAAAAAAGGAAAAAAAAAAAAAAAAGAGCTTGGTATCTATCAGACTTCCTTTCAACTGTCCTCCCATCCAAGCAGACAGCCTGTCCACCCTGTCCCAGCTCGGAGCAGCTGACCCAACTCAGAACCTCTTTCCTACAGGATGAAGTGCCTTTTTGAATGTTATTTTAAGCTGAGAGTTCATTTTTCTACACAATATATTTCCAGACATCTTTTAGTCTTTTATCGTCTTAGATAACTCTAAGAAGAGACAGCAGACAATTTTCTAGAACCTGGTAGCGTGTGTGTGGCGTGGGGAGGTAGGGGGCAGGGGTGAGGGAGAAGAGCGAGTCGTGGGCACCTGTCTCCCACCAGGTCTAGGGTGTGACCACTCAGCCTGGGGCATGCGGCAGGGCCAGGCTCCCTGGACTCCCCGCTGCCTCCATTCACTTCTGACCCCGTTGGGAATGCGTCTACACTCGCGCGGCTCAACACTTGATGAAACACCAGATTGCTTTCTAGTATTATTTCCGATGGTGACAAATAGGTCTTGAGGTCCCATTTCTCCCTCGGGAGAGTGACATCAGGTCGCTTTGGCTTTTCACACTACTGCCATATTTCTGTATTTTTTGTTGTTTCGTGGTTGTCGTTTTTGGTAGAGCAGTTACAAGAAACCCTGCAACCCTTGGAGAGCGAGAGAGAGACAGAGAGATATTTAAAAGAAAAAAAAAAAATCTGTTTATTGACTTTTGAATCTTTCCTTTCCAAAAAGCTGGATACACATGGAGCTGTTTGGGACTTTTTTTTTTTTTTTTTTTTTTTTTTTTGTGCTCCCGCGCTGCCACCAAATGGAATTGACCAGCGGCTGTTACACTGTTCTTTGCCACTGTGCCTACGCTCGGAATATTGCACACTGCGGAGCTGCAGGCTTGGAAGGGTCAGAGACGGAGGCGTCCCACCCGCTGCAGGCCGCGCCAGCTGTCGCCCTTCCCTGGCGCTAGCCACTGGGAACGCAAAAGGGTACAGGCCAAAGGGCCAGGGCACCCAAAGGTGGACGTGGATGTAAAAGCGCAGTCAGCCGCAGATCCTGTGGTACGCTGACTGTCCCCGCTTCGGCCTGTGTCCTCCACCAGCTGCCAAGCGGATGTGGCCCAGGTCCATCTCTCGGCCTTCTCCTTTGAAGCACAGCCTATTTCTGAGCCATGGGTTGGGGGAGCTGGTCGAGATGTGGGGCTCAGCACCTCCAAACCAGAGAAGAGAAGAGAAGAGGGGCTCCCTCTGCAACCTTTCTCAGTCTGGTTCTGAAGCAGTGCCATATTCCTTGTCTGACGAGACAGTCTGTAAAGTATTGCTCTTAAAAATCATTGACCGGAACCCTTTTACGTTGGCACCACTGCCTTAGTCCTCTGTGGGTTGGGCCTCGGCCAGAGTTCTGGTGGGAGTGGCTGGCAAGCCTGGAAATTGGAGGTCACAGTAAAAAAAAAAATTTGTTTTTTTAATTCACAAAATAACGAAACCAGCTACCAGTCGTGTCCTCTCACAGCACTTGGGTCTGTGGACCGCTCTGAAGAGAAGTCGGTTTTCGGGGGAACGAGATCGCCCAGTATTCTGAGTGTTCCCAAACCTAGCAACCCCCATGCCAGGTAGACCAGGAACAGCCCTCGCCAGGCGTCACCTCCGGTGATGTCCCGTGGCAGACCCGCACACGCCATAAACCTTTATTTGGAAAACAGTCATTAAATGAACCCGCTGCCTTAACTGTCTTGAATGTTGCAGTCCAGTGTCTGCCAGGTGTTGGTACCTGGGCCCTCCCCTTGCCCCTTCCCTGTTGACATCCTGGCGCCATATTGGAAAGGGGAAGACGCCATGTTGGAAGGGGTTGCAGGATAGGTCAGGGGAAGCAAACCTGGGGATCATGCTCCACCTCTGACAGATGGACTGAAGACACTTGGTGGGCCCCAGCCGGACACCTCACCCGCCAGGTCCTGAAACTGTGAGCGCCATCACACTCATCCAGCGTGGAGCCATTGGGTGAAGCCCATTCCTGCCGCCACAGACGCAGAATGTCAGGAGGGCCAGCACGCCCTCCAAGGGGTCTGGATCCTGCGCACCTTATTCGACCACACTCCAAAATGCCCTTTTTTATTTGAACCCTTGATTCTGCTTTCTGTACATAGTCAAAATGCCTATATCTCTCTATATTTGTAATCATCCACATGTAAATGAAGCAATAGAATTGTAACGCAAGGCCAAGAAAGGAGACGGATGTTTGGGGTTCATGTTTTTTAAGGTCAATACGGGTGTTTTTAATGATTACCTTTTATTAAATCGTGGGCTATGAAACCCGTCAGCTCCTTCTGTGTGCCATGTCCTTCTCGTGTTACCAAAATACCCGCAACTCTTTAGCCAAAAGAGAAGTGGCATCTTCTGAGTCCCCGTGGCCCCTTCTACCCCGAGTTACAATGCGGTCTCCCGGACAAAAGATTTTACGCTATGATCTGGGGCAGGGACTCCAGCCCCGTTTGGTATTGTGACATCTCTGGCCAGGCCTCGAGCGGAGGTGCCCAGGTACTCCTGAAGTCGTTAATGCTCTGTCTTCCATTTGTTCTGGAACCTTCCATGTTGGTCTGCGGTCTCTCCCGTTAGCTGTTTGCTAACAATGCATTTGTACCCTAGAAAGGAACTCCATCTGTCCCGGTCCATGGTTGGTGGGGAAGCTCCTTTGACATGGTGCAATTTTGATGAGATGACTTTGGGGACATGAGGATGCCCTAAGGACACTGATGTGTCATGGTCGCAGCATTCAAACTTCTGAACTTTAGAGGTCTCCAAAAGGAAATCTGTAAGTTTCTAACCTGGCACCCTTCTATAAACCCTGTAATTTGAGGATGGCTTTCTAATAAAATCCAGAACCATGCAGCCCGATGGTCAAACACGCGCGACGTTTGTGCCTCTGCTTTAAAAGGTGCTGGGCTGGACAGTTGGTGTGCCAGGGTTCGAGAACAGTGGATGGCTTGCAGTTCCCCACGCGACACTGGCTGGCTGCCTCTGTTCCTGTCTTCCTATAAATCTGATCATGTGTGTTCCCGTTCCATTCTCCCAGGAGCTTCTCTGCAGACGGACACCTCCAAGGAGTGGAGGTGCTGGTGTCTGGGTGTCCATGGGTTTCCGTCGGACGATCGAATGCGATGAACAATCCCGCCTCAGTGGGGAAATGCCACGTGTAGAGTGTACACGCTTCCGGGGGCGAGTCTTGTCAATCCGAGGTTTTGCAATGATTTCCTTCTTGCCAAAAAATAAACATGTGAAACCGCGCTCTCTGGTGGATGGACTGTGTCGCTAGGGCAGCTCCTTCCCCCCCTGCCGTTCTCGGCACGGCCTCATGCCAGAGCCTGGGGTCTCCGGTGTCCCCACTCCTGGAGAATATAGAAAAGGCCGCACGACCCCTGGAGCCACAGACCCTGGCTCCAGGGACCCTTTCCAAAATGCCTGTGCCACTGAAAGGTGCCCCTCCCCAGGCAAAGCATCCGGCTCGCCACCTTCTCACGGGGACTCAGCCCTGCCAACAGGCTGCCAAATGCAGCTCGAGGAAACCTCCCACCCCCTGAGAGCCACAGGCACCCGGTGCGGTGTCTAAAGCCAGAGCCCAGGGGACACTAGCTAAGCGGCTGTCGTTACCGGATGAAGCCTGGCAAGGAGGCACCAAGGTAGGAGGTACTGGGCAGTCTTCATGGGGACAGTTGTGGGCACAGTCCAGCCCACAGTCCAGCCCCCTGTACGTGAAGGAGACAGGGCAGCAAGGCCTCCCCTCTGTGGGGACTCCCGGCGAGGACCTGGACACAGTCTCACCACCCTGAGGACTCGCTTTTTTCCTATGACACGCATCTCAGATCACACCGGCGTCTACACTTCACCAGCTAGCAAGGCCTCCTCCTTCCCCTTTCACAGCTGGGGAGGCGGCCAGTGGAGCGGCCCTGTGGTCCCTGCTCTGTCATGGGACGCCGCTGCTTCTAGGTGTGTTTGTACCCGACGGTATGCGTCTTAGCCCAGCAGATCCAGCGTTTGCCCAGAGACTCGAGCTCGACTACCCCCTACTCTGTGCGGTCTACCCCTCCTTCACGTGGGGAGCTGGCCAGCCCGAGGCAGGCTCCCCAGCTTTCTCCCCTGCTCCAGCCCCTGGCCGTGCCCTCTCAGTCCCATCTTCCTCCACTGCTCCCTAGCCCTCTCTCCTCTCCCCTTCTCTGGCTTTGCCCCTTTTCATAGGAGCCAACCGATGGATGGCTAAGAAGTGGGACAGCAGCGCCCACAGCCGAGTGTGGGCGTGAGTGTCCACAGAGCCCCTGTGCAGGTGGGTAGGAGACAGGCCATCGAGAAGGCACCTGTGGAGACTGGTAGATGGCGTAATGGGTAGGTCGCTGGACTCCCACGTAGTTGACCGTGGTTCGAGTCCCGGACCTTGTGGCTTAAAACTCACACTGGGGTGTGTGTATGTGTGTGCGCGCGCGTGCACCCAAGATCTCAAGAGTAGAATGGAAAAGAGATTGTGGCATGGCTGTCTCCCTTGGAGAGTGATTTCTCGCTTTCTGTCTGTCTCTTGGGCGAATGCATGCACCCTATAGGAAAAATCTCTTAAAAAAAAAAAAGGCACTTGTGTTGGACTTGGAAACTGGATTTCCAGAACCCCCCGAGGTTTCCTCGCTTCGGCACACATCTGCTGTCCATGTTCCAGGTGCAAAGGTGGCGGGAAGCCAGCCAGGGTGGGAAGGAGTGGCAGGAGCCGGCCCAGGGATGACGGCACGTTAGCTGGGAACAGCCCGGATAGGGCGCGCGTTGAGGGCTCATGGCAGTCCCCGAGTAGCCTGGGATGCCTGGTGCTTGATCCCGTGCCAGGGCTGGCTGTGCAGCCACTGGCCACTCAAGGCCTCGAGCCACCAAGTGGCACAGACAGCAGCCTGGTCTCCGAGAACAGGGGGGCCTCTCGGGCTTCAGGAAGAGGGTGAGGCTCTGCAGTCCACACCCCCATGGCAGCTCCGGCTGCTCAGCTGGTAGGGCCACCCGGGAGCTCTGGAGGTGCCCTCCAGGCCCTGGGCCCCCAGGCTGGTGAACGCATGCTAGTCTCTGGGGGTGGGGACCAGCATCCTGTTTCGAAGTGTGTCAGCCAGGCCTGCACCCCCGCCCTGACTGCTGCAGTGGAAAGGAAAGGCCGGTCCCCGAAATTCCAGGCTAGGACCGGTGGGCTGGGCGGTGTGTGAGAGGTGAGGAGCAGAGGGGATACCCCCACTGCACACAGGAGCCCAGGGGCGCAGCATCCTCCAGGAAAGGAACGAGCCTGGCACTCTGTCCCCCCAGGGGCCAGACTTCCAGCCCAAGCAGTGTCCTGGTGGCGGCTGACCAGCGGGCAAGGCAGTGACACGGCTTCCTTTGAGAGCCCCCCAGGACTGGCCTTCCGTATGCCCTTGGCCTCAGGTGCCCTGCCGTTCCCACAGCATCAGGGAATAGCCTCTGGCAGCCATGCAGCTGCCCCCCGACCATGGCCTGCAGCACAGGACGGGACCATGAGCAGACAGGTCCAGGGTGTCTTGGAGCCAGGACCTGGGTCAGCAGTTCTGTCCCTGTCCCCATCTGCGCATCCAGGGGCTGCCTGGGCTCCTTGAGAAGCTCGATTCTGCACCTGCTGGGGAGGGGCTCTGAGGAGGCGGGAGGCGTGGCCACAGCCCGGGGAGCCTAGGGGCGGATCCACTTCTGGCCACCCCAGAGTCTGGGTCAATATTGACTCAGGGCAGGCGAGGCCTGGGGTGATAAGCTGGGCAGGACAAAGTAGCTGCGAAGCCCTGGGACCTGCTGGGCGAGGGTGGCAGTGGGTCGCAGGGGCCCGAGGCCAGAGGCCATGGTGAGACAGCTGGGTCATGGCCAGGGTGATGCTGGTAATTCCAGCCTGGCCCTGAGCCTTTCTGACTCAGCAGGCCCCCTTGAAGGGTGTGGGCAGAGAAGGGTGGCCAAGCAGGGGAGGGTGGCAGGACCCCCGTTTTGCTCTAAACGGAGGAGGGCAGAAGAGGTGGGGTCTCCCCAAGTTCCTTGTAGCTGCCTGTGATTGGCCAGACACAAGGCCAGGCTCTAGGGCTGCCCGCCATCTCTCCTGGGCCTAGGACCCCAGGTTACGGGGCAGGGAGGTTCTGGGGCAGGGCATTTCTGTCCAGGCAAGATCTGGAGACCCAGGGACCCAGAGAATTCTGAGGGAAGGGGCCTGGGAGAGGTCCTCATAGCCCTCACCAAGCTGCTGAACTGGCTCATATCGGGTGAGGTATCCTGCCCACAAGTATGGTGGGTGTCACCTCCCTCGCGTCTCGGAGGTGGCAATGTCAGCTCAGAATGAGCCAGAGAAACAAAGATTTCCAGTCAATCAGGGAACCAGCAGGTGGCATGGTGGTTAGGGGCGCTGGACTCCCACATGGCTGACGGTGGTTCGAGTCCCAGATCTGGCAGCTTGCTTTCTCTCTCTCTCTCTGGTCAAATTCAAATAAATAAATAAATACATTTAAGTTAAGTAATTCTTCAAAGTCACTCCGCCAGTGAGCGCCATTGGAAGCCAGCTGGAAAAGATGAAGGTCACTGTCCGAACTCAAAGCCAGGCCCAGGCTTCGGGACAGAGCCTGGCAAAGGGTTGCACACACACACACGCCGCTGGGTCAGACTCGGGCTGCAGGAACTTGTCCTCAAATATGCATCAATGGGACCAGCAGTTGGCGTAATGGCTATGTCGCTGGACTCCCATGTAGTCGACTGCAGTTCGTGTCCCGAAACTGGTGGCTTAAAACTCACACCAGGCGCGTGTGTGTGTGTGCCCAAGATCCCGAGAGGAGAATGGAGGAGAAGGGATTGTGGCATGGCCATCCCCCCGGGGGGTGATTTCTTGCTTTCTGTTTCTGCCTGTCTGGCGAGCGCACGCGCCCTATAGCAAAAAACCCTCAAAAAAAAAAAAAAAAATATATATATATGCACCAATGGCACACAAACACCATTTAAACACACACGGCGGCGAGCACACCCTGCCCACGGGAGCCATCAGGCCAGCTGGGGACACAGACACCCAACAAGGAGCTCGACCAATGAGGGTATCAGTCCTGCAACCCCAGACCTGAGGAAGGTCGTGGATGAGCAGTCGGGAAAGGCCCTGGCTGAGGCCTGGATGTAGAAATGGGGCCGCTGTGGGGAGAGCTGGAGGGGAGGCTCCCCGCCAGGGGGAACAGCGTGTGCAAAGGCCCGGAGACTGCAATGGCCTGAGCATCTCCAAGGGACAAAAAGAGTCTGGCAGTGGAGACTGCTCTATAGCCTAGTGGTTAAGGGAGCCAGATCCCACACGGCCACTTGTGGTTCAAATCCCAGCCCTGGTGGTTTGAAAACCAAGCCAGGCACGTGTGCCCCGAGGTCTAGATGGAAAGAAGAAATGGAGGAGAAGGGATTTCAGAGTGAGCATGCCCCGTAGGGGGTGCTGTCCCCATTCCTCCCTCTCCCTCCCTCTCTCTGGCAAGCACACAGGACCTCTGACAATTTTTTTAAGGTGAATCTTATGGGACCAGCAGATGGCATAATGGTTACATCGCCGGACTCCCACATAGTCTGCTGCATTTCGAGTCTTGGACCTGGGGGATTAACACTCACGCCGTGTGTGTGTGTGTGTGTGTGTGTGTGTGTGTGTGTGTGCGCGCCCAAAATCCTGAGACGGAGAGGAGAAGGGATTGCGGCGTGGTCAGCCCCCTGGGGGTGATTTCTCACTTTCTGTCTCTCCAGCCAGCAAATGCACACTGTAGCAAAAATCTCTCTCTCAAAAAAAAAAAAAAAAAAAAAGGTCTCGCAGCTGCAGAGTGGTGAGGAGGGCGAGGCGCAGCCGGAGGGACAGGCAGCCTGCTTTTCAGTCCCGCCTTGCAGAAGCCACTGGGCGGGTTTGGGGAGGGGGGGGGGGGGTCTTGCC